AGGGGTCTCCCCACCTCTCCAAACGGGGCTGTGTTCCATGGGCCCCCCACCCAAAGTCACTCCCATCACAGGGAACATTTCATTGCCCGGTCAGAGGCTGGTGATGGAGACCGGGCACAACGGTATTCCTGAAGGCCAATGTCACACTTGTGAATCTGCTGCTGATGAGAATTTGCTAGCAGCAGTATTGCTAGGGTATGGTTTGGAGGGATATCCTCTCACTTCCTGTTGTGGCTATGGGACAGGAAGTGAAAGGAAATCTCCCCAATGGGACACAGATGACAAAAAAAAAAAATCTGACAGGGTTTCTTAAGCCTTCCCTATTCTGTCCAAAATGAAAAAAAAAAAACATTTTGCCTTCAGTTCTACTTGAGTTTTATTTACTAATGGCGCAGTTTAGGGTGGGGAGATAACATTTGGTGCATATGAGATTCCTAAAATAATTTTGTAGCTGGATATATTTGTTTATAGTTAAACTCTCATCTTCTTCAGGTGCAACTCGTACGTCAAGAGCTGCGCAAAGAAAGACTGTTTGATGTCGTTGTGACTAACTATGACAACATCATTGGTGAGTCCCCAGTACAGTTTAGCATTTATAATTACAGGGACATTTTTGCTGCATGCCCATGGGGGGGGGTTTTTTTTTTTCGTAAACACAAGGGAGCTTTTATGGCTCTTACTTTAAGATGAGTGAGTATTGGGTAGTTAAGAAGGAAAGGCTCTCCGACTAAGTAAGTTTTAAATGTTGACTTTCCTCTGCCTTTGCTAATCATAGTACCCCATATGCAATATTAAGCAGTGTAAATACCTTTTTTTTTTCTAATGTTTCCTAAAAGTCAATTGACTGCACAGCTCTGGGCCTTACGCGGCTCTTGCAAAAACAGAAAATGGTGATGGATTCCCACAGCAGTGGCATCACCCCACTGACACCAATGCTCTGGGTGTTGTCACACCCACAAGCCACAGCAGCCACCCTGGACCTGGAGCTCTGAGGTCATGTGACCAATAGAGTTTAAAAAAAAGGTATTTACACTGTTTATTATTAAATATGGGGTGCAGTATTATTAAAGGCAGAGGGCAGGTAACATTTAAAGGTTACGTAATAAACATCCTTTCCTTCTTCTTTAAAATACAACTGTACAACAGTCTAAGTAAGTCTCAAATCCAGTTACCATGAGATACACAAGCCTCATAAAGTAAACAAATAAACTTCCTTTACCCTCCCTAAAGCTGAACATAGATGGATCGAATCTCGACTGGTTCAGCAGGGACTGGCGAAGATTCGATTCATGTATGGGTAGGCTTGGTTGTACTGAAGTCGATCCATCGGTCAACTTCAGTACAACCATCTTCTCAGATTTTTTTTCCACTCATTATTGCTGCTGTTCGGTATAGCTTCTAGCAGTAATCATTGTGTTCTGCCAGCCAGAAAGACTCCCTGCCTGCAGAACACAATAGCTTCACAGGAGCGATTCCCTCACATTTGCGTTCTATTAAAAAAGAACATATGTGGTGAGAGCGCGCTCCCTGCGCGCTCCCAGCACACATGTTCAGCACTCACTGAAAGGTCCCGATCTCCTCTTTTGATCGGGACCTTTCCCGATCATGTGACCGCCATGATGACGTGTCACATGACCCTAAACCTTGCCCCGCCTCCCGGCTTCTGAAACCCTTAAAGGGCCGGGAGGCACCGGCGTGAAGGGGTTAAACAAGAGGTGTGGGTATTGGCCAGATCACCAGATGAAAACAAAGGGAAAAAAAGCATACAAAAAGGAAAACGAATGCAGCTATCACATCTACTGACCGGTAAGCTGTAATATATTGTATTACATTGATGATTTTGGTTTAAATATTGCTTTAAAGTGTTACAGGCAAATAGATCACATTCATCATTTTCAGCCAAATTCATCACATGTAATTATTGTCTTGATGGTTCTTCTTCACGAGTCTACCTCTTATTATTTACTTTGCAGGTCAAGAGTTCTTTGTCATCATTTTAAGTACCGTTCGATCAATCGACAGCCTGCCTGCAAAACCGCCTACCTCTTCCACTTTCAGTCTGGACTTCTTCTGTGATCCACGAATCCTAAACACCATCTTAACACGAGCCCGTGCCCAGGTCATTGTAGTGGGAGATGTAGTGGCCTTATGTTCCTTTGGAGCTTGTAGTCGTATCTGGAGGAGCTACTTGCGGGAGTGTGTGGAGGCAGGCAGTGCCAATCCATCAGACCTCAGCTTGGAGGGGATAAAGCAGATGGCTTCTGACTTTCAAGCTTGGAGGCAACAGGAAGAGGAAGACAATACTGAGGAAGACAGTGACTCTTGGACAACCGATGTGGATATCAATGCAGAAGATGCCATCCTCCAAGAACTGTTAGACAGTAAAAATGAGGCATGTGTTACTGTGTCTGCGGAAGGAATGTTGGAAATGAAACCATCAATTAGTTCCAAAAAGGATGTAGACAAATACACAATCTTCCCAACACACACACTTGAGCAATACTTGATAATGCAGCCCAACATATACAAAAAGTGTCAATTAGTCAAAGAAGACTTCGACCGTGGCTATGCCATAACCCTTGATGACCCTGCACCCCGTCATATTGCTATTCATGGGCGGGAGAACTGTGGTATAGGATATAGTGGCGATCAGGTTGTCGTTCAGTTGTTCCCAAATGCCCAGCCAGACGCAGGAAAAGTTGTTGGAGTCCTTGAGGCAGGTGAAGAAATTCGGAGGTTTGTTTGCTTCATGGATACTTTTGACTCTAACATCATGGTCCCTATTGACCGAACTGTCACTAAGATTTTCTGTCCAAAATTTAAAGAAAAACCAAACTTTATTCCGATCCGTAAATATCAGGATGGTCGTATAACTACTGTACGGTTTGAGAAGGTAACACAGGAAATGATACGAAATACTAATTTTCTGGTACAGGTGGTCCGATGGCGGGAGGGTTTCTACTACCCTTTTGGGATTGTAACTCAAGCTTTTCCACGGATTTTGACCTTGGAAAAGGGGCTAGAGATATTAAACTTGGAATATGGAAATGAAAATAATGATAAGTATCCTGAAAAGGCTTTAGAAGAAGCCAATAATCTACCGGCAACTCCACAGACAAAAGACAGAAAGAACTACAGGGAAATTTTAACCTTCACTGTGGACCCTTCCACTGCCAAAGATTTAGATGATGCCATCTCTGTGCAGGAGCAAGGCAATCGCTATGAGATAGGCATTCACATCACAGACCTTGCAGCTGTAATTCCCCAGGGTGGTGACTTAGACAGGGAAGCAAAAAGGAGAGGTGTCACCTTCTATTCCCCTAAGAATGACCCAGTGCACATGCTACCGCACAAGCTGTGCTCTGACCTTTGCAGTTTGAAGCCAGGATGTGAACGGATGGCGATCTCCTTCTTTGTACTAGTGGAGAAAGAGACTGATCAAATTGTGAATGGTCGCTTTTTGCCGCTCTGTAATTCGCTCTGACCGCAAGCTGTCATACGATGAAGCCAATTCCATTCTGGACGTTGAACGTGATAGGCCACGGACATTTGATAACATAGAGGGTTGTCTCTGTATTGTAGAACACTTCTCAAAAATCCACCGAGCCTTCCGCTTAGAGAAAGTGGCCAATTACAAGCAGCCTGACGAAGACTGTTTTCCAGGATCCCGGGAAGCCCAAAGGATGATTGAGGAGCTCATGATCATGTACAACAGTTGGGTGGCAGATTATTTGTCAAACATGGATGAATTTACGAATCTAACACCAGTACGATGCCAGAATGCTTTAAGCGTACAGAAAATTGGAGAGATGAAGAAAAAATTTCAACACCTTTTACCTTTATCTTCTTATTTGTCACATCATCTGTTGGCAGAATCTGAATTACCAAAGCCATCATCTGAGCAAAAAGTTACCATGTTAGCTTCAGTATGGAATCATCTGCAGGATCCAGCTATCAGCCATTCCAAAATTACAGACCTTTTGTCCACAGATGACTTGCATCCAGAATTGAGCTATGCAGTTCGAGAATTTAGGAGTCAGCTTGGTCGCTCTTTTTTCACTCGTTCTGGCACTCCAAATGCCAATGGTCATTACTCCCTTCAACTTTCTGACTACACGTGGGCCTCATCACCTCTTCGACGGTACATAGACATTGTGGTGCAAAGATTGCTCCAAGAGATCCTCACAGATCACTTAGACATAGCCTTCAGGATTTCTCCCAAGGACATGGACTTGCTGTGCCTTGATTTTTAACAGGAAAGTTAAACGTGAATCATCGTATGAGAAGAGAGCACATGCGTTGAAGTTCGCTTTGTCATTACACAAAGTAGTACAGCAAAAGTTGGCAGTGGTCATGACAGTTGATGTTAGGAATCGAAGTTTTAAGACAGTCTTTCCATTAGATGGAGACTCTCTGTCCAGTCCATTGATGCTGGAATACTGCCATCTTCAGCCAGAGAAGCAGCCAAAACCGATCGATAATGGCTTACGTTTGACATGGAGACGTCGCGTGTACTCCTACAATAATTACAAGGATGAGCCTCTGAGGAATCTAACTAGGAAAGACATAATCTCATTTAATTCCTATGCCTGGCATGAAGCAATAAAATCCATAAGTCAAGGAGAACCAGAAGAAGCTATGGCTCATCCTTAAAGTTCGGTAAAGAGAAATCTGACCCACTGAGCTTCGTGACTCGCAGCAAATGTGGGCATTATATGGATATATCTCTTGACTTACGGGCTGGAGAATCTCTTCCTATCCAGTTCTGCACTGTTACTGAACGGGGTTTACCAAGGCCAAGTCCCCAACTTTGCACTCTGGCCCCTGGAATCCATCTCTGCCTGGAGCATACGTCTCGGCCTATTGAGTGCTTCTCCAGATTGGCAAACCGAGCGCCTCTTAAAACCTACCGCAATGTAAATGAGTATCAAAATGTGTGGCTGCCACTGTGCGCAATGGAATCAGCGGAGTGTGCTGTCAAGGAGGGGGCATCTACACTGCTGAGAGATGTACCCGTCAACTGGAGGCGAGAAGGAAGTTCCAAACAATCTGTGGGACTAAAAGGCACCTTTACCCTGACCCCTCTACTTATCAAAGAGTGTGATCTGGAGATGGACTTCCAAAACTGCTACCTTTGCGTGCGATTGGAAGAACTGCCAGCAGAAAAGACACAAAACCTTTCTGATTTGCAGAGCTACACATGGGTGGCCCACGGCCTAACACAAGTCACCAGTTCCATCGTTAAAGATAAAGGTGGTCATGTTGACTTTCAGTTACACCAGTGTAACATGCATGAAGTTCCTGAGAAAGCCCTGAGATCTACAGACCCCTTTACCATGGAGATCATACCTAAGCTATTGCCGGACATGTAAGCATTACGATGATCTACCTTTCTGTTTATCTGCCTCTTACTTATTTATGTCTTTGTTTTTCTTTCTTATTACATCAACTATATTTCATGTCTATCATATCTTCCCCTACTCTCTGTCTATCTGTATGTGTATATTTCTGATATCGGTATCAAAGAAGTAACAACCCCATCAATGGGTTTGATTTGCTAAAAACAGAGAATGCAAAATCTTGTGCAGCTGCGCATGGTAGTCAATCAGCTGCCAACTTCAGCTTGTTCAATTAAGCTTTGACAAAAAACCTGGAAGCTGATTAGTTTATATGTAGAGCTGCCCCAGATTTTGAAGTATCCAGTTTTAGTAAATCAACCCCTATGAGTCCTTTTGAAGTCAGTTGAAGATTAGGTTTGCAGTTGATTGTTGAGACTTGCTCATACTGGTAGCATGCAGCTTTGTTAAAGAGACTCATTTTGCCCTTTTAGTACTCACCTTTTCAGTGCCCCCACCCACTGCTCCATTCTTCCACTGTCCTAACACTGTAAACTCTGTGTTGGGTAGGTGTCAGAACTTACACAAAGTTAATGATCCCCCCCTCCTTTTGTCATAAAACAGTGTTTAGGTCTGTTAATTGGCTGCTGAGGGACATGTGCATAAACTTTTATTAACAATCATCAAATAAGCTTTATAAACAAGTCCTTACTGGCCTTTGTAGGTGCAGACATTGTGCAGTAATTCATCCTCAAGGATCAAATAGAAGCTGTAAAGTCAGATCTCAGCACTGTTGCTCACCCATTCCTGTGCACCTGCTTTGTTTTTATATTAAGCCTTCTTCGCACAGATGAATAAGCACAGACAGACACGGACAAAAGCCAGAATCATCTGATACTTGAGGCCGGGCTGACTGGTGGTTGCATACAGCTGCTGCCGCTCAGTGTGTACTAAGCAATGATAGGCTGACAGGATCTGTAGCTGTCCACATGTATCTGCACATTGGATTGTCAGTGCTATGCTCAAGCACAGTGTTTCTCAACCTTTTTTCAGTCAAGGCACCCTTTAAAATTATGGACAGTCCCGAGGCACCCTTTGAAATTATGGACAGCCGTGAGGCACCCTTTGAAATTATGGACAGTCCCGAGGCACCCTTTGCAAATATGGACAGTCCCGAGGCACCCCATTCTAAAATGGGGTGCCTCAAGACTGTCCATAATTTTAAAAGGGCACCCCAATCTACAATGTAAAAAACTATTCTAATAGTTTTATATAATGCAGCAACATCCAAACATGTAGGGCACCCAACATTAGAGGTGATTTATTCTTCCAAAGCAAATACATTTTTGATCCCTGGTACTGACTAGTATTCCCATGTTTCTCTTCTCCCTCAGTTTTTCTCTATTACTGAGCTAATGTGACCCCAGCACTGATGGAGAGGGGCGGGGGAGGGTCAAACAAGGATGCTGTGTGAGCAACTGACATCCTCCTTATCAACAGATGATGTCATTGGTTGTCAGGACGCCGGCAGCTAGAAGGCTGTAATGGTGCACAATGAAAACCTGTGGCTTTGTGTAACTAAAAGACAGGCTTGTTCCACCCTTTGACTTTTATACAAGTTTTGGCCAATTTTAGAAATTTGCCAAGGCACCCCTGAAGAAACCCCAAGGCACCTCAGGGTGCCTGGACACCCTGGTTGAGAAAGGCTGCTCTAGCACATCCAAAAATGAGGATTTGTAGATGTTTGAATTTCCTATTACTCTTGGTAAAACTTCTTTTTGTCCTACGGCCTGTCTAATTTGGACTTGCTTTATTACTATACTTCATTTCTGGTTGGTCATCTACCTGTCTGTGCCCTGCTCCTACTGTTCATCCATCTTTTATTTATTTGTCCTGATTTTCTTCTCAGACGGAAGGAAAGGGCTGTTAAAGAACTGAATAAAGCATCTGCACTCACAAAGAGTATTGCGCTTGGAAAGCAGGTTCCTGATGTAGGTGCGTAAACACGGGACTTTATAAGATTACTCTTTCACAATATTTGGAGCTAGCTGGCCTTGAATTTCATGCAGCCTGAAGCACACAGTACTGTCTGAGACAATCAGACTGGAATACATGCGGATATAAAAAACAGCACAAGCTTACTGGCCTTGTGCAACAGGGCCGGTGCTACCACTAGGCAAACTAGGCAGCCGCCTAGGGCACACTGCCACCTAGCAGTGGCGTTGCTCTTGTGAGAAGTTTTAAAGGAGTTTGAAGACCTTCCTTTGGTAACCTTGGAAGTATATTATAAGCAGTAGCCTGGGGCGGGACCGACCATTTAGGCCCTCGGGCATTGCCCGAGGGCCCGGGGGACAGTAGGGAGCCTCATGAGCTGCCCCTGGTACCTTTCATAGGCTTTTTTGGGTGTAGTTTGAGTGTGGGCGAGGACACAGGGGCCCCATGATTTACTATTGCACGGGGGGCCCCATGAGTTGTCAGTACGCCCCTGGCAGTAGCAGGTAGAAACATTCATAGGCTTTACTCATTGTGAGTGATTTTTAACCTGTTATTTATTAAACCGAGTTGATGTGCTTCCCAACTGGTGTGCTTCTAGTGTTTTCCTTTTATTTGGGAGGTAGCATTTTAGGAATAGTGGAAAGCAAGTAGGGCACAATAGAGATGTTTGAGGGGACAGGCTGCTGGAGAGGGAGCCAAGCAAGATGGAGGTGGGAGGAATACTGGTGCACTGCTTATATAGTCATTATCAATAATATAATTTTAGGACAGGGACAGGGGCGGACTGACAACTCATGGGGCCCCCCGGGCAATAGGGTATCATGGGGCCCCTGTGTCCTCATCCATACCCAAAAAAAGCCTATGAAAAAAGCCAATGAAAGGTACCAGGGGCGTCTCATGGAGCCCCCTTCTGACCCAGGGTGCTCGAATGGTCAGTCCGCCCCTGGACAGGGATCAGAACAACATGGAGATGTATCAGATATCAGAAAAAGAACTCAAGTGGTCTGCACAGAGCCTTGACCCCCAGAACACATTTGGGAAGAATTGGAATGCCGATTGCTAGTCAGGTCCCTCTTGTCCGACATCAGTACCTAACCTCACGAAAGTGGAGGAGGGGGGCAACTTAATGCTTGTGGGTTTGTTTGCAATGGGATATTCAAAAAGCTCATACTGGTGTTGGATCCACAAATGTTTGGCCATGTAGTGTGTGAGAAACCAGTACAGGACTATAGGATGGGGAGAAGGAACAAGGAAGATGTGAACAAGAACAGGTGCCAGAAATATTGTAGTGGGACAGGACAAGGTGTCTGCTAGAGTTTCAGTGCAGGAATACAGGGTAGTAAACAGGAGAAGCTGAAGTGAATATAACTGATTTTACTGCATGGGAACAGGGGGGCAAGGATGGCATGTGGTACACATGGGAATAGTTGGCCTAGGAATACAGGACACAGAACAGGACAAGATGGAGCTGTATTTGTGATCAGAACTGATATATTATATATTATTATACAGGATTTATATAGCGCCAACAGTTTTGCTCAGCGCTTTACAATATAATGGGAGACAATACAGTTCAATACAAGAGGGATAGGAGGGCCCTGCTCCTCGGAGCATACAATCTAATAGGGAGGGGCTGGTGGTACAAAAAAGGTAGTAACTGTGGGGGATGGACTTATTATACAGGATTTATATATTATTAATTATAACAGGATTTATATATTATTATTATACAGGATTTATATATTTATTATTATACAGGATTTATGGCGCCAACAGTTTCTCAGCGCTTTACAATATAACGGGAGACAATACAGCAACAATACAAGAGGGATAGGAGAGCCCTGGTCCATGGGAGCTTACAATCTAGGAGGGAGGGGCTAGTGGGGGGATACAAAAAGGTAATAACAGGTGCAGGGTTCAAGTTGTGAAGGTTTCTGCGGGTAACAATATACTGGAGATGTAGCAGAACACAATGATGGTATGATTGAAGTCCTAAACATACAATTTTTTTTCATAGATGGTAATCTCTATCCTGAGAAATGACAGATTCAGCAAGCCTTAACAAAACATTCAACAAACTTAAAGCAGATTTTTTTGAAGCATTTAAAGCACCAGTCACCTCTAGCCTGGGAATGGTGAGAAACAGATCTGGCTGTTGCTTTTTAATGATAGGCAAAGGAAAAAATGACATATATGCTAGTCTATCACTAGTAATTAATTACAGCAGTTTTAGTTATTCTGAGTTCCTCCATAACATTATTATCTTTTGATCTGATGACTTTCCACTTCCCTTGTTAAGATTTCAGTATTGGAAATATAGATCTGTGCTTATGCTTGTATTTACAAGTGCTCTGTTCTTCCTTACAGTCATGAACACAAAGTTTAAAAATCAGGCGTCGTTTGCCATCCCGGAGAAACCCCGTCCACTCAATAGAAGTCAGAACAGAAGCCGTGCGCAAAGCCTTAACTCAGCCTTTCACCCTTATCCAAGGACCCCCTGGTAAGTGTTAGCCTAGATTGTGTGCCTGCTTATATATACACAGTATATATATAATATATATATATATATATATATATAATAATATATATATATATATATCTTATGCTAGATGATGTCTGTGCCCACGCCTATAAAAAAAAATAATTCTTTGAGGAGACTACTTCTCCAGCCTTCGAGCCATACCTGTAGCAAACATGGACACATACTCATTCCGTGACTGGTAGGGAAAGACCTGCAAATGAGTTGTGTTGCGGGAAAAGCATAGCTACAGTCTCTTTGGAATCATGGTGCAAACCCATATCACATAAACTGTGAATATACCTTACACCCACCATATACACTCACCAGCCACTTTATTAGGTACACCTGTTCAATTGCTTGGTAACACAAATTGCTAATATCCAGTCAATCACATGGCAGTAACTCAATGCATTTGGGATTATATAGACATGGTGAAGACGACTCGCTGAAGTTCAAAGCGAGCATCAGAAAAGGGGAAGAAAGAGGATTTAAGTGACTTTGAACGTGGCATAGTTTTGGTTGTGACAAATGGGCTGGTCTGAGTGCTTAAAAATTTACATAGTTACATAGTTTATTCTGGCTGAAAAAAGACAAAAGTCCATCCAGTTTCAAGCAAAAAAATAAAAAATAAAGTTATAATCCTACACCCACAGTTGATCCAGAGGAAGGCAAAAAACCCAGCAAAGCATGATCCAATTTGCTCCTGCAGGGGAAAAAAATTCCTTCCTGATCCCCCGAGAGGCAATTGGGATATTCCCCTGGATCAACTTTACCTATAAATGTTAGTATCCAGTTATATTCTGTGTATCCAAGAAAGAATCCAGGACTTTCCTACAGAAATCCACTGAGCTGGCCACAACCAACTCTTGAGGGAGTCTATTCCACATTTTCACACAGCTCTTACTGTGAAGAAACCTTTCCGTATTTGGAGATTAAATATCTTTTCCCTCCAGACGTAAAGCATGCCCCCTTGTCCTCTGTAATGACCTGAGGGTGAATAACTCTACACCGAGTTCACTATATAAACCACTGATATATTTATACATGGAGATCATATCCCCCTTATGTATTATATATGGAGATCCGGATATCCAAACCCCCCTTATGTATTATACATGGAGATCATATCCCCCCTTATGTATTATACATGGAGATCATATCCCCCCTTAAGTATTATACATGGAGAACATATCCCCCCTTATGTATTATACATGGAGATCATATCCCCCCTTTGTATGTATTATATGGAGATCATATCCCCCCTTATAAGTATTATACATGGAGATCATATCCCCCCTTATGTATTATACATGGAGATCATATCCCCCTTATGTAATATACACGGAGATCATATCCCCCTTACGTATTATACATGGAGATCATATCCCCCCTTATGTATTATACTGGTGATCATATCCCCCTTATGTATAATACATAGATCATATTATACATGGAGATCATATCCCCCCTTATGTATTATACATGGAGATCAAATCCCCCTTATGTATTATACATGGAGATCAAATCCCCCTTATGTATTATACATGGAGATCATATCCCCCCTTATGTATTATACATCATATCCCCCCTTATTGTGATCATATCCCCCCTTATGTATTATACATGGAGATCATATCCCCCTTATGTATTATACATGGAGATCATATCCCCCCTTATGTATTATACATGGAGATCATATCCCCCTTATGTATTATACATGGAGATCATATCCCCCTTATGTATTATACATGGAGATGGTGATCATATCCCCCTTATGTATTATATTATACATGGAGATCATATCCCCCCTTATGTATTATACATGGAGATCATATCCCCCTGTATAAGTATTATACATGGAGATCATATCCCCCCTTATGTATTATACATGGAGATCATATCCCCCCTTATGTATTATACATGGAGATCATATCCCCCCTTATGTATTATACATGGAGATCATATCCCCCCTTATGTATTATACATGGAGATCATATCCCCCCTTATGTATTATACATGGAGATCATATCCCCCCCCCTTATGTATTATACATGGAGATCAAATCCCCCTTATGTATTATACATGGAGATCATATCCCCCTTATGTATTATATACATGGAGATCATATCCCCCCTTATGTATTATACATGGAGATCATATCCCCCCTTATGTATTATACATGGAGATCATATCCCCCCTTATGTATTATACATGGAGATCATATCCCCCCTTATGTATTATACATGGAGATCATATCCCCCCTTATGTATTATACATGGAGATCATATCCCCCTTATGTATTATACATGGAGATCATATCCCCCCTTATGTATGTATTATACATGGAGATCATATCCCCCCTTATGTATTATACATGGAGATCATATCCCCCTTATGTATTATACATGGAGATCATATCCCCCCCTTATGTATTATACATGGAGATCAAATCCCCCTTATGTATTATACATGGAGATCAAATCCCCCTTATGTATTATACATGGAGATCATATCCCCCCCATGGAGATCATATCCCCCCTATGTATTATACATGGAGATCATATATATCCCCCTTATGTATTATACATGGAGATCATATCCCCCTTATGTATTATACATGGTGATCATATCCCCCCTTATGTATTATACATGTATTATGTATTACACATGGAGATCATATCCCCCCTTATGTATTATACATGGAGATCATATCCCCCCTTATGTATTATACATGGAGATCATATCCCCCTTATGTATTATACATGGAGATCATATCCCCCTTATGTATTATACATGGAGATCATATCCCCCCTTATGTATTATACATGGAGATCATATCCCCCCTTATGTATTATACATGGTGATCATATCCCCCCTTATGTATTATACATGGAGATCATATCCCCCTTTATGTATTATACATGGAGATCATATCCCCCTTATGTATTATACATGGAGATCATATCCCCCCTTATGTATTATACATGGAGATCATATCCCCCCTTATGTATTTATACATGGAGATCATATCCCCCCTTATGTATTATACATGGAGATCATATCCCCCCTTATGTATTATACATGGTGATCATATCCCCCCTTATGTATTATACATGGAGATCATATCCCCCTTATGTATTATACATGGAGATCATATCCCCCTTATGTATTATACATGGAGATCATATCCCCCCTTATGTATTATACATGGAGATCATATCCCCCCTTATGTATTATACATGGTGATCATATCCCCCCTTATGTATTATACATGGTGATCATATCCCCCCTTATGTATTATACATGGAGATCATATCCCCCCTTATGTATTATACATGGAGATCATATCCCCCTTATGTAATATACATGGAGATCATATCCCCCCTTATGTATTATACATGGAGATCATATCCCCCTTATGTATTATACATGGTGATCATATCCCCCCTTATGTATTATACATGGATATCATATCCCCCCTTATGTATTATACATGGAGATCATATCCCCCTTATGTATTATACATGGAGATCATATCCTTATACATGGAGATCATATCCCCCCTTATGTATTATACATGGAGATCATATCCCCCCCCCTTATGTATTATACATGGAGATCATATCCCCCCTTATGTATTATACATGTAGATCATATCCCCCTTATGTATTATACATGGCGATCAAATCCCCCCTTAATCTCCTCTTCTCAAGAGAGACTAAATTCAACAAATTGTTGATCTACTGAGATTTTCATGCAAAACCATCTCTAGGGTTTACAGAGAATGGGCTGAAAAATAGAAAATATCCATTGAGTGGCAGTTGTGTGGACAAAAATGCCTTGCTGATGTCAGAGGTCAGAGGAGAATTGGCAGATTGGCTGCTGCGACATTCAGAAGGTAGGGTTAGAATTTGGCATAAACAACATGAAAGCATGGATCCATCCTGCCTTGTATAAACGGTTCAGCCTGGTAGTGGTGGTGTAATGGCGTGGGGGAGATTTTCTTGGCACTAGCAAGGTGTACCTTATAAAGTGGCCGGTGAGTGTACATACACATTGTTCTGACACACATCAGATAGAATGCAGAGTTCAGTCGGCACAGTATTTCCCATTGGCTTGCTCCCAGTGTTTGTGACACTACAGGAGTAAGCTGGCACCAATTATGTGTCTTCTGCCTCTGCAAAATTGCAAGGCATAGCATATTACACTTACTTTTCTTCTGTTAGTTGAACTACAAGTCTCAGCACATCATACTTGAAATTCTTTTGTCTCTGTAAAACTATAAATGGGCACCCTTTCAAGTCACAAGCAGGAAAGCACAATTTGTACCCTCTTTTAGTCTTTAGTAATGTGAAGATTTGGCATAGGTTTGCCACATACAAGTGTTACATGTGGTTTGTTCAGAGATAGGTACATTTCTTTCTCATCCATTTGGGGACATAGGAAGTATTCTGCGGGTTATACTGCAACCTAAAGGAGGACTAGACACTGCACTTGAATTTGATAACCCTTCCTATTAGCATGCCTTGGGTTTTTGCCAATATCATAAGATGATGGGTGTCTTTTCTTCAGCCCTGCAGTGTAAAAGACTAATTGCTGCTGGAGTTTTGTCTCTACTATTGCAGCTGTCCAATCTGTCCTCAGCCTAGCATTTGGATTGTCATGTCCAGGGGCGGACTGAAAACTCATGGGGCCCCCGGGCAATAGGGGATCATGGGGCCCCTGTGTCCTTGTCCAAACTCAAAAAAGCCTATGAAAAAGGTACCAGGGGCATCTCATGGGACCCCCTACTGACCCCGGGCCCTCGGGCATTGCCCGAGTTTCCAAATTGTCAGCCCGCCCCTGGTCATGTCCAGACCCCGCTGGACTGGACATTGCGGAGATGCACGTCAGGCACTAGGCTCCACGTACGTAGTGATGAGCTTAGGTTGAGTTGAGCTTGGGTTTGGTCCGGACTTACGTTTTTCTGAACCCGGACGT